TGATCCATCAGAACAATGAAAATGTGAAGCAAGAGGTAGAATCGAGGAGGATAGGACACATTAGAGAAAGAAATAAATCGTTAGTAGTAGAATAATTATAAAAATAATCGCCATCTCATTTCTAAAAGTCTCGACCAATCGATAGAAAGTTAAAATTCGTCTGAAGATGACAGATATGGCATCAGTTAGTAAGTATTAGTAGTATAAATAGTACAAACCAAGAAATAGCAGACTGGTTGGAGTAAGCAATGAGGGCTAAACAAATAGTAGTTGCCTCTGATCTCCGGATCTACACGGTCGGTTTGATGGAAGATCTAGTAGCCAAATCAGTCCCGATCAGCTTAGTATTTGTTTGGCGTCGTTTTCACAACCTGGTCGGAGCGACATGGAGGTCTTATGCAGCTTACCTAGTCCTACATATTCTACCATAATGATTTATAGCATAGGACCGTCGAGATAGAGGCAATGAAAGACGCTATCGTTGGCATAGAGTTACAACCTCTCAAAGCGACAAGCCGATGACGGTGACGATGCTGGCGAAACGTCTGAGAATGTACGAAGTCAACGGTCCGATGCTAGAAATCATCATGAATACTATTGCAGAGGACGTAAGACTAGGCACGTTTTGAAAGGTCTCCTGTCGCTCTGAGCAAGTTGCGAAAACGAGGTCAAACCAACATTATACAGCTAAAGGAGACAGAGACCAGACAAAAGACTAACAATATTGGTCTTCATATCTACGATCCATCAGTTTAGCTTAAGAGTACATGCACAATTTTTATTAATGATAAAACAATTATAGCACCTAATGGCATTATAATACTCCAAAATTGATAATTCTTATTAAGAGAGTCACGTATTAGCTCATGTAAAGTTCAACATGTTACTTTCAGAGGGGTCGAATAGTGTGCTCTAACGACCCTTCAGGATAGCAAAGGATTAACATTTTGACTAGGAGAATTCCCTTTTCGGGTGACACCGTTTAAAATTGCTGATATAACACACGGGATGGCTAAATTTTCAGTAAGCGTCAAGCTATTCAGCTAATGA